CGGTTTAAAAAGAGGAAATAGTACTCCAGTGTCAAGTTGAAGAATGACAAAGCAGGGCCTTCGCTCGGAAGGAAACAAGAATCAGAGAAAGAACACTAGCTGCAAAGTTAGAATCTCTACTATTACATTGGCTGAACGGTCTTGAGAAAAACTAGTTCTCTGGGCTTAGTCATCACTTGTAAAACAGGGAGGCTGGCCCAGAAACCAGACCTTCTGCAGCTCTGAAACAATGTGTTCAAAGTAAATCTTATGGTGAAGACCCTCAGATAAGCAGAAATGTGCTGGGCGAGGGGGACAAAAGCAACTCATCAGTCCCATTTTCTAGTCATTCCATCCTGACAACTATCTTGATTGAGCTCCAAGAAACTCTTCAGATTATGCAAAAACAGTTTAAAAGCAGTAAGAATGGATAGCAAAGGTTCCCTTCAACTTTAAAAAGTATTCCAACTTTTCCCTCAGCGTTGGACCTTTATTTTACTGTTTGCCTACAATTCATTCACTCGATGTGCATTCACCGAATATCTACCATATCTTAAGCATGTTTTAGGAAGTGGGGAGACAAAAGTTAATAGTACAAAGATTCTTCCCTCTGAGGTTCAATTTCTATTTGGGAGGGAAAGAGAATGAAATAAACAAATTTATAATGTCAGGGCAATATGGTTAAGAGAGAAAAAATGAGGACGGAGGTGACTGCTCCATCAAAATCCTCCTCTACTCATCTTCGCATCACATTTTTCCCTCCGGTCTTTATATTTTCATTCTCACAGATCATTTGTTCTTTTCTCTGAACTCCTGCAGCACTTTGAAGCATGTGTAAGTTTCTGCCATTTGTTAACTGCTTCGCTATACAATTATGCTTCAATTATGTACTGCTTCACTGTACACCACCATATAATGATGTTTTGGTCAACAATGAATTGTACACACAGAAGTTTTCTCTCTATCCAGCTTAGGTGTACAGTAGGCTATCCCACCAAGTTTGTATAGAGTACTTTATGACATTCACACAGGGAACTCACTCAACCACAGAATATATCTTTGCTGTTAAGGGATACATGACTGTACTGGGTTTTTCTCACCCAAATAGCAAACGATTCTTAACATTGCCATGCCAATCTTAGATAGTTACTGCAAGGCTACACCGGCTGTACAGATTGAGCAGGCACTCAGTACCTGCTGACTGCTACAACACTGCCATTTTATTTTATTTTTTTTTAAATATTTTTCTCTATTAGGAAGAGTTTTATTAAGGATCAGCATACTTTTTATTTCTAATATGTTTTATTTTTTTCTTAAAGATTTATTTTTTATTTAACTTATTTATTTATACAAGCACTGGGTACAGTCAGAAGCGCGGGAGGGCGAGAGAATTCACCAGAGTCAGAGCAGAGAGCAGAGCAGAGCAGGAAGACTGACGAAGTACACTGCTGAGGGGAGCAGCGGGCAGCAGGAGGCGGCAGGAGAGGTCTGCGCACCATGTGGGACCCTCCCCCGGTAGCCGGGGATCAAACCGGCGCTGCAGAGGCTGCGGGCAGCTTCGCAACCCAGCGCTTAACCACTGTGCCACTGGGGAGGCCCAACACTGCCATTTTAGAACTGCAAATGCATTCTTTAAGCTTTCTATTTTCAATACCATGGACTAGAATTTTTAAGGAGCATACAAGAATCAAATGAATAAATGAGCTCAACAGAAATCCACAATGGACCTGGTAAGAAGTAAGGATGCCCAGGTGGAACAGGTGTTTGCAAAGGAAACTAATCCTAAGACAAACATTAACTAATCAAGGCCAAATAGATGGGGCGGAGCCTAAAGGGCAAGTGTAGGGGCAACCATCTGTGCCAACAGAATGGACAGATGAGAATGTACAGAAGGACAGGGCAGATCTAGAGTTCCTGCCCCACTCAGCCTCTTGCCTATTTCATTGTGCAATGGGTGTCTGGCCCCATGACTCTGCCTCCCACCCCTCTACACAGCTCAATGCTCTGCTCATAGCAGGTCTAGGCTTAAAAACCATCAAGGGGACCATTACTTCCTACTGCACAGAGTTCCCCTATCCCTTTTTATAGTAGAAAATGTACAGGTATTGGTTGCCTTTTCATTAACAAAAAGTCTAAGAATTCCTGCATGTTATCAGTTGTGCTTTCAGTACCCACAACTGAGCAAAAACATAAAAATCTGTGATACATCTGTTCACAGCAGCACTATTCCCAACACTGAAAAGTGGTAACAACCTAAATGTCCACCTGTGGATGAATGCACAAAATGTGCCACATTTATACACTGGACTATTACTCAGTCAAATAAAGAGATGAAATGATGTCATGTGCCACAACATGGATGAACCTTGAAAACATGCTAAAAAAAAAGAGGTCAGTCACAGAAGGACATGTATTGTTACAACTCCATTTATAGAAATTACCCAAAACAAGTAAATCCACAGGAACAGAACAATGATTAGAGGTAGCCAAAGGTTGGGGAGAGGGTGCAGTAAGGGAATGACTGTTTGAGTACAGGGGGTCTTCTTGGGGTGATGAAATGTTTTGGAACTAGACATTGGTGATGATTGTACAATACTCTGAATGTACAAAATGCACTGAATTATACATTTTTTAAAGATTTATTTATTTATGCATCAAGAACTGGGGTACAGGCCAGAGTGCAGGGGGTAAGAGGATTCACCAGAGACAGAATGGGGAACAGAACAGGCAGACTGACTGAAATACAATGCTGACGGGAACAGCGGGCAAGACAGGAGAGGTCTGTTGCACCATGTGGGTAGCTCCCTGGCCGGAGATTGAACTTGTTCTGCAGTGGCTGCGGATAGCTTCATAGGTTGCATTTTAACCCCTTGCGCTACCAGGGAGGCCCAGAATTGTACATTTTTAAGGTGTTAAAATGGGAAATTTTATTTACATGCATTTTATCACAATAAAAAAGGTACTGTGGATTCTGTAAGCTTTAAATTTATAACCTCACTAATCTTTAAAATGTTAACTTGTAAAACAGGAGCTATTAACACTGAAAAATAAAACCACACACTTATATATAAGAACACCTATTCACTCTGCAAACTATGCTTGGTGCGAAAATAGATTCTCAGAACTCCTGCACAGCAATAGCTAAATATAACAAACAATGGCAAACACTGAACTAGGCAATGCTCTAAGTGCTCACATTTAATCCTGATGATTAACCAAGATAATTAACCAATTTAACCAGTATAACACAGGCACAGATACGTTAAGTAACCTGTCCAAGACTCAGAACCTCGGAATTCAAACCTGAAGCCAATCTAATCTAGTCCCAGGATATAAATTCTTGGGAATAGCTACATCGACTCACAATGCAGACCCTCCTTTTTGAAACCTATCCATTCTCTCTTCACTATCTTTCCACCACCTTCATGTAGAACCACCTATTCAGCCTCTTCATGTGCAGTATCCACACCAAAAGCACCTATCTCCAATGCTGGAAACGTGTCCTAGAAGCCAGCAGTGTGCCTTCTCTCCTCTCTGAAGCCTAGGCTGTGGTGGAAGAAATAGGAATGAGGGCCTCAGAGTTCTTGCACAACTTATCTTATATGTTCTTCCCACTTGCATTCAGGCCTACAAACACTGTTCATTTTAGCCCAAGGATAGAACAAAGAACCACTCTAACGCACCCAGCAAAACCCAAGATACCTTGTACTCTTTTGGAAAATAACACAGAACGCAATCCTAGAAGCCACAGATTGAATCATTTTGTTTGGCCAGTCCAACTTTCACAAACTTCCCAGGTCACCCAGTCCAGGTGTGTCATCTGCTGCTGGGCATTATCTTGCAACCTGCTGCTCTAAGCATTCAAGCTATCTGACCTAGCCTTTAACTGACTTACTCATTAGTCATTCCTAATGGTTTTTCTTTCTATGACATTCTTTCATGCACATTAAATCGTGGCTGGAAAAGACACCAAATACAAGAAACAAAAACAAAAAACAAAATGTAACTGAGTTACAAAATGTAACTCACTTCTAAGGATTAAAAAAAAAAAGGTCCTATATAATTTCACAGGTGGAAAATCCCTAATATTGAAATGACTTCAAATCATAGCACAACTAAAGAACTGCTATGACAAGGACTACTTACTTCCAGCAGGAAAAAGACCCAGCTAGCAGGCCATTGTGGGCAGTCCCAACACCAGTGATTTCTGAGCTGAGCAAAGGTCAGAAACCTCTGTTTTAGAAGGCTTATCTTCGAATTTCAACAGTGAAATCAGACAGTGTTTGGAATACTTCTGGTCGGCTTACAACACTGCTCAAGTTCAGGGAATAAACACCGAAAATAAAATGGAAAAGGATGCTAACTGAACATGCTGTGCTTTACCACAACAAAACAAAGGATGTCTCTTTCCAAAAGCTTTAGCTCTCTAAACCAGAAGGAAGAGAGTCTCTGATGATGTGAGCAAGCAAAAAAGTCCACAACTGTGCCTTGCAAAACTAAAACAGCACCCAGCACACCATAAACAAGTTAATATTTACAAATTGCAAGAAAGCCACACAAGTATATACATTTAGAAAAAATCAAAACAAGAAGCTATCAACTGTTAAATTGATATTCTATCATCAATTTCCACAAATGACTTTAGCCCTAGATGGTTACTGAAAATATGTATGTACATTAAATTACACCTTATAAGTATAAAAGTCTTAATTACATCTTATAAAGGTCCCAACATTATTTAAAGAAGTTCAAGGAGAATCCTTTTTAAAGAAAATATTGCTTTTATTTTATCCCACTGAAAAACCCCTATAGGTGCCAGGCACTGGAGTCAATGTGCAAAAGTGAAATGCTCATGGTAAACAAATCACCTTCTCTCCTATTCTGTTCTTTGTGCTGCACAGACCCAGACTTAAGTTTAAGGTTCATTTTGGTGTGAAAATGTAGGTCATGTAAGGAAGATATAATTTTTACATGTAAGAGGCAGCAGGTTAAAATGACATCAAGCATTATGTAATACTTACCGCTGGTTCAACTTGACTCCGATCTGCAATATCTATGTGAACAATTTCAACAGTTTTCCATGTATTTGGATCTAAACCATGTACCTACAAATGACAAAGAGAAACAAAACAGTATTTCATGAAATCAGATGTCTTAAGGGATCAAGAAATCTTTTGTTACCCCTTGTAGCTGGAAATAATAAAAGGGGGAAGGACACTACCAAATGAACAGACATCTGTCACTATTATTTTCAGGTAGTTCTTAGAGAGATGATTTACATAGTAAAATGTATCTGACCTATATTTAATCCAAAAGATACATCATAAAGTCCTTGCAACTTCTTAAGTCCTAGACAAACATAAGATGAAAACATTTTAATTAGATTTCAAGAAGTTGCACAGCTGTTCAGTATGGGCTAAACCCTCTCCTGGATTTAATTCTCCGAAGGCTATACAGTTTCAGTGTGATGTCAATGCTTCTATACCACATATTGTTGTTCAATCATTTATTTATGAAACTCCATCTATGAAACAATTAAGAAATGTTTAAATACTGCCAAAGACATGCCCATTTCAAAGCTGAAAATGGCAAATTCTATCAAATACAGACTAAAGCATAGCAAATCATCTCATTTAGACTAAAAAAACAAAAACATGAAATACCAAATTCAAACCTAGAAGAAAAATTCAAGTCAAGGACTACATATCAAAATTCAAAAATTCTATTAACGGGCACAGTAAGAACAGACTCTACCACAACTATCATTAGTTAGTTTGCTGTAACAATCTTTCGTAAGGAGGGAAAAGCAGTTATCAAAATGGAACAGTGCCAAAAAATACAGATTTCCCAGAGATTCTAATTCAGTTGGTATGGGATGGGCGGTTCTGAGAATCTGCATTTCTAACAAGTTCCTAGATGCTGTTGCTGCTGCTGGCCAGGGAACACATTTTCGGGAACCAGTGGGTCAAAGGCATCAATCTGTACCAGATGCCCTCCCCAGTTCTCTGACAAACCTTACCAAAAGGTCATGGTTGCATTGAGTCCCACCTGACTTCTCTAAAACTAACTTAAGGATAAATATGTACCAACTTGTAAAAGTGAGGAAACTGTCAACATTTTTGTAAATTATTCAAAATACCTTTTCCTTCCTGCCTTTTGGTCACTTCATGACATCAATCCATATCCCAGCAAAGTGGTATGGAGGTAAAAATTAAAGCAATCAATTTACTGATTGCTTTTTACTCTGACAAATACAAAGAGAAGACAAGATGAAAGAAATCTAAAATTTAATACTCATACTTGTTTGGGGATTAATTATAACTTTTGCTTACCTATGTTGTCCCTGCCTCAGATAAAAACAGGAGCTGATAGAAACAGCAAACTTACCAACGTCCACTCAAGTGCCAAAGCAAGGGGACTGAGAGGGAAAGCTCATGTGTTTCTGACTGTAGGCCTGCCTCACCTCAATCTGACAAACCCTAGTGTGGCCAACGGCTAGTAAAATGCAGGCGACATCACTCTGGTGATGACAAAATGGTCTACAGTATACCCATTTCCAGGGGCTTCTGCACTGAAAGCCCAGAGTCAAAACTTACATTTTCTAATGTTCCCAAGTCTGGTTTGTGCCAAGTTTCAATTTTAATGAAGAAATCATCTTTCATATATTCATTCTGCAGAAAACACAACAGCAAAATGACAGTGATCTCTCACCGATTCTTTGGGGCTCCTGTGTGTGGGAGCCTTCCCCAGCATAAGCACCCATGCTTTGACTCTACAAAAGACTACTGCTCTTCTAGTGACAAAGAATTATTAGCTACCTATTTGAATAGACTTTGTCAGGCAAACCAAATACTGCATGCTTTTAAACAATGTAAACAACCCTATTTGCCATGCAGCATACAGTGCCAATAATAAAGAAGCTGTGAGATTTGGCAAGCAATTCTGGCATTAAAAGAGAGTAGCAGAAGCAAAATAAAGTCAGCAAGGAGACTGAGACAAAATTGGGAAGAGCCCATTTTTACTGGGAATGAGTGTGGGTTGGTAGAAGAAGCAAAGGAGTCACTCAGTGGTGGGCAGCAATAGTTGAAAATAGAAAAAAGCAAGCAATAGTTGAAAATAATTACTAAGAAAAGTTTAAAGATCAAGAGTAAATGACACAAAATAGATTTACTCACCGTTACAACTGAGGCATAATGGACAAGTAGGCAACGAAAGGGGAAAAATTTCAGAATATTAATCAGAATCAATACAATCTGTCCCAAAATTTAATGCTGCAAAGATTAAGCTACCTGAAAACACAGAAGATTTAGTAGTTTATGTCTCCAAAACATATTTCTACACAAGTGACCCTACATGATACTTTAGACTATGAAGTCAATAATCTAATTTTAAAACAAGAGTAAAAGTCACAAAGTCAGAATGTCATTTATAAGGCTAACTTAACAAACAGAAAATTTTCAGAAGTCCGTCATAATTTTCCTTTGTTATGGAGCAATATAAGTAAAGTACTACTGAGACTATACCAGAGACATTTCTGAGTATGGATGGCCTTTCTCTAAGGTTTCTGTATTCCTTTAATTTGCTCATCCCTGGAACCTACTCTGTCTGCAAGAACCTCAAAGTAGCTGTCACCTGTGAAAGAACCCATACCTCTAACAAAGGCGTGGTGGGAGGAACCCAATATAGTCCTCCTGCCACAAACTATGTGATGACTACCTGAGAACCTAAAGAAGACCTTGCTTGGTGTAATCCTTCTCAAAAGAGTCATCACCAGGAGTCCCTCTCCTTAGCAGTGGGGTAGAGACACAAAATGGCAGCTGGAAAGCAGGCTTACTTGTTCTACAGTAGGGGTATGCATTCCAGGCTTTCTCATGAAACACCAAGGAGCCCTCAGGAGCAATCATTCTCACAAATGCAGGAACTTTGCTGTGAGGAAAGAAATAATGGATATATTTTCAACCACCAATTCTTTGCTGGCATTTACCAGATTGCTTCAAATAGTACTGTAACCAAAGGTAATAATATATTAAGCTTCATGAACTTGTATCCAAGACTAAGTTTTCTTTCTCAATACAAAAGTAATCAAGCAGATGAAAAATAAATGTAAAAAAAAAAATGATTAAGAGTATTTTTTTTTTCCAGAGAAGCAATTCTTTTTTTTTTTTTTTTATGGTTTCTGATCTACTCCCCTACTGTGAAATTCAGGTGTTAACTAAAGCTATTCAACCTGCACATTTTACAAGTAGCTAGACTATATTATACTGTTTTCTTAACGCTCACACACAAAGACCCCAGAATAAGGGAGGAGCTCTGAAAGAAAGTTTTTAAAAACATTTTGTAACACAAACTAAAGAAAAATGACAATATGAAGAACCCTTGTTGGCAATGAGATTATATTAAAACACATCCAAGTATAAAATTTTATAGGTTTAAAAGATGAATGTTATTGGCTGCCTCAGTATGGTCAGAGGGGAAAGGTCAGCTATATAATTAATACATGATGAATGATTGCAAATTCCTAAGATAATCAAGAAAGGTCCCAACAGATAAATGGGCAATGAACATCCACCAACACATTACAACTAGAAAACACAAGGAGGCTTATTGTTCAAAGAAATGCAAATGAAATGCCCATTTTTACTAATTTGAGCCACTACAAAGAAAATAGTTCTACAAACACTTTTCACAGGCTGGATTCAAATCCCAACATCTTAGAAGCTATATAATAAATACTTAGGTTCCCATCAATGTGGCAAGTTAAATTACTGGAGAGGAAAGTGTTTACATATGGGAGTAAGAGTGTGCCTTCACATTCTTAAAAGATAACTAATGAAGTAAGGCTAATGCTTTAAACACTTAATAGTTTGCAAGTCTTAGGAAGATTCATGCAAAGGGATATAACTTTAGAAAAATGAAGCCAGGAGAACTGAAAACAGTATCACATGGAAAAAAATCAAAGAATATCAAGCAGTTCAAACTATTTTTTTTTAAAGATTTATTTATTTATTTATACAAGCACTGGGTACAGTCAGAAGCGTGCGAAGGTGAGAGAATTCACCAGAGCCAGAGCGGGGAACAGAACAGGCAGACTGATGAAATACACTGCTGAGGGGAGCAGCGGGCGGCAGGAGAGGTCTGCCTGCCATGCGGGACCCTCCTCCAGTGGCTGGGGAGCAGCCGGGGATCGAACCAGCCCTGCGGAGGCTGCGGGCAGCTTCACAACCCAGCGCTCAACCGCTGCGCCACCTGGGAGGCCCTCCTTTTTCATGATTTCTAATAAACCCCCCTATTCTCCTACCCTCTCATCTCAGGATATATCTAAGTCAGGCCTAGCAATGGTTTATTTATTTAGAAAAGGCAGGAGAAAAGTAGTCACATACTAGCTCAGAAACATATTTTAACTACCTTATTTATTTTTTTAGTGCCCAACAGTCTAAAACTTTAATATTCATCAAATTCCTAAAATCTGCTAAACCAAATAGAAGAAAACTGGCAGTAAGTCACTAAAAACCAGCAAGAGTCAAATCTAGAATAAAGTTTTAATATTTTTCAAGCTTCCAACTTCCAAATACCTATAACCTTATATCCAGGAAGCTTTTTCCACCAACTGAATTACAACAGTTCATTTTATGTTCTAACTTAGTCAAGAAAGACCAAACCCTTGAACTATTTTTGTTTCAAATTTACTGGCTTTTAACATTTAACATGAGAACATAAACATATCTCTCCTCAACAAATTAAAGTAACTAACTACAGTTGGGGGAAATGCATAAATGGAATAAAATTAAATTTCAATCCTACTTTAAAGGATAGAAATTTCATTAATGGCAACTTGAATAGTCATATAAAGGCAGTTCGTGTGCCATTTATATATGAATGAAAGTATATATACATATATATCATTCATCCATCTCAATATCATTTAGGAAGATGTATGCAATAAAATACAGAAAATTCTGGTTTGGAAGCTTAAGAGTCTCAGAAAAAGGACAAATATTAACTGAATTAACAATGGCACTAAGTTTTCAAAAACATATGAAAAGGATATTCCTTTTCCTGTTCTTCCAAACTATTCATACACATTCTCTTTGCAATAAACTAATACTCATGACAATGTTAACCTCAAGATAAACATATCTAGATTTCAATTGCTTAATATTAGCTATAGCATAATGTCCAAAGGCACAAAGGTTCTATGCTATTACATTAGCCCTGCCCCCACTCTAACTATGAGTGAACACTGAGAATATCTAACCTCAGGGTAAAATACAACTTAAATATTTTATCAATTGTGTTGAGTGGAGATATTATTAATCTAACCTCAATATAAAACAATTTTTGTGAATCTGTTTCAGGGTATGACAACTTTGTCAAGTGTACAAGAAAACCGGGCTTATATAGTTTAGTAGTTATATAATGAATAATCATGATATATACTGAATTTTTCCTACTTAGCATTCTTTAAAAAAATCCTGTTTCTGAGATAATGTCTTGGCAAATCATTTAAAACTGTACTTTTCCCATGAAATTTTTACATTTACTTGTAAACAAAATGAGCAAAATGGTTCAAAGCTCCACTTTTTTATTTTCCTCCATCCTACAGTGGCGAAATATGAGGTGCAGAAAAACAAGGGAGGAATTTGAAGACCAGATTAATTTGCCATAAGTAAAGCAGTTAATCTATCATTTTATAATTCTATCTTAAACATACCTAGTACACTGGGCACCTCATTCATTCACGCACTCATGTATTTACTGAGTGTCCACTGTGCCAGGGGTTATGTAAATGATGGTGAACAGAAATAATTTTTACCCACTGCTCAACCTCCAGAGAGGGGAGCAGAAAACAGACCAGTAAACAAAGACAAAGATAATCAACTCTGCCAAAGTGCTGGGAAGTAAAGAGGGCTATGGATAAATGAGTTCCTGTACAAGAGGGGACACCGGACCTCCCCGAGGACGTGAAATTACAGTGGTGATCTGAGGATGTGGAGGGCCATGACACAAGAAGAGACAGGGAGGTAACAGCTTGACCATGGGTCCTAAGATAGTCAATGACTTGGCTCATTTGAATCTATTCAGGACTGTGGCAAGGCTAGACAGTACTGAACAAAGGCAGAGGGAAACAAGAAAATGCTGAGATGGGCATGGACTCTATCATACAGGTCAAAAGATTTTGGATTTTATTTCTTATATTATGGGAAACTACTGAGGTTTTAAGAAGTAGAATGACATAATCTGACCTACAATTTAAGATCATCCCAGCTTTGTGTGGAACATTAAATGGAATGGACAAGAAAGGATGGAGGCAAAATTTGAATACATTGAAGATCTAAATGGAAGAGTTAAAACTAAAAAATTCTTAGAGGAAGACATAGATGCAAATCTTTGTGACTCTGGATTGTGATACAGGGGAAATTCGTAATGATACCCTGACGGATTGGGCAGTAGTTTTTTAGATATAACACCAAAACCATAAACAAGAAAAGAATAAGAGACTTCATCAAAATTATAAACTTATGAAGAACTTTTCAAAAAACACAAGAAAGTGAAAAGATAATTCACAGAATGGGGGAAAATACTGCAAATCGTATCTGACAAGAGACTGCTATACAGAATATACAAAGAACTCTTACAACTACAGAAACTAAAAATGGAGAAAAGATCTGAACAGATATTTCTCCAAAGATTTACAAATAATAGAAGTAGCACATGAAAAGATGCTCAACATCATTAACCAGAGATATGCAAATCAAATCCATGATGAAATACCACCTCACATCTATCAGGATGGCTCCTATTTCAAAATAACTGAAAATAATTAATGTCAAAAAAGTGGAGAAATTGAGGCGTTCATATACTGTTAGCAGAACTGTAAAATGATAAAGTTGTTTTGGAAAACCAACTGGCAATTCTTCAAAAAGTAAGGAGCTACCATATGACCCAGCAATTCCAGTTATGGGCACGCGTTTAGGTATATATTCAATATTTTAAATTTAAGATCATTCTGGCTTTGTGTGAATTTGATTTTCACTTCAAGGAAAAAACATGTGTCCATGCAGAAACTTGTCCACAATGTTCAAAGCAGCACTATTTGTAACAGTTGAAAGAAGACAAGAGATCATATGGAGGCAACTGGAGAAGCTCATGAGAGGTAAAGGAACTTACATTAAATGTAGTAGCGATAGGGATGGAAGACTGAAGAAAGGAAAGAGAGATACAAGCAAAAAAAAAAATCCCAATTTGTGGGATAGGAACAAACTAACCAGATAGAAATCGGCCAGTTTCCAGGAAAAACAAGACTAAACTTTTACAGAATTACAAAAAATAAAAAAAGTATTTTTCGCGCAACAAAAGAATACCAAGGAGTAATAAAATATACCATAATGAAGAAACAATATATTTCAGAAATAGATATTGCTGACATTCTTCTGGAATAGGATAACTTGATTTAGAAAACTCTGAACTGTGCAAAATTTAACACAGAATTATTTACAAAGAAAACATTATGTGCTGATAGCTAATTCTTAACTCAAAAACAAATTATACTATATTTGGCTAATTATTAAATTCTTACTTGTACTTATTTAGAAATACTCTCCAGACATGAATCATCATATATAGCCAATTTTTGCAATCTCAGTTGATTTAAACTTCTCACTTTTAAAACATGAACACAACTTTAGTTCCTGGCAAATAATTCGTTTTGCTTACAAAAATGAACTATTAACTTAAATTATGAAATTTTTAAAATGATCTTCTTTTAAGATTTTATTTATTGGCATAGAAGAGCTGGGGTGTAGGCCAGAGGTACAAGGGGTAAAAGGATTCACCAGAGACAGAGTGGGGAGCAGAACAGGTGGATTTACTGAAATAGACTGCTAAGGGCAGCAGTGGGTGACACAGGAGAGGTCTGTTGTGCTGTA